AAAAATGACACGTTTACTGCTTTACTTTAGTTACTCGTTACAAAATTAAATATGTTCAAACTCATCATGAAAGAAGATGTTTATGCACTCTAAAAAATAAAATGTTGAATTTACTCAACAAAGTCATTTACAAGCCTAGTTGAGTAAATTGAGTAAAGAATATACAGTACATGTATAGTATTGCTCAATTTACTCAACCTGACTTAGTGGAACCAGTTTAGTTCAGTAAATTCAACAGTTTATTTCTTAGAGAGTGTGTAAAAGTACTTTTACTTTCCCAATTTTCGTGAACAGTTTTATGACTTTTACTTGAGTAGTTTTCTCATCAGTGAAATTTATTTTTACCAAAGTCATTTTATGTTCATGTAATTTTACTTTTACTTATTTTTTTCTAAGTACTTTGTAGACCTCTGCCTTTAGACTCATGCACTGAACACAGTTGATGCAATAATAAATTGCCGAGTTTTAGCCATTTTTAGTTTGTTTAGATAATCAATTCCAAAAGAGGTTTCGTGTGTTTTAGATACAAACTCCAGCCTAAACATTGTGACTCTCATTCAGGGTTCTACAAACAAGTTTCTGTCTTTTTCAGTTTCTCTGTAACCGTCTGCTATTTTCCTCCTCGTCTTTCTTACTCGTTTACCAACAAACCAAACATCCTCAGAGCTCTTTATCCGCCCACACTCATGGCCGACTTCGCGGTAAATTTGGCTTATTCTTTAAATTTACACTTGCTCCTCTGCCAAGTTTACTGGGAGTCATTAGGCACTGCAGTGCAAGTCGCTTCATCAARTGAAGTGAAGTTTAGCATGCGGTCCAGTTCTGTGTAATTAGATATCGCTTCTTTTCTTTGTGACAAATGCAGTTCAGCTGAAGGGTGACAACGAACTGCTTAGAGCCTCTGGCTTGTGGAAAATACCTGTCYTGTCTGATAGAGCACTGGGGTGAAAATATTTTACATTCTGCAGAATGTTATTTGCTTTAATGTGAACAGTTAAATGAGAAATGGAAATGCTGATATACTCAATCAGTAAATGTGAAGTAATTTTAAAAAGTTCATTATCTTCGACTGACAAGAGTGACAGTGATAAGAATTTAATCAAGTGTTGAAAAAAGGTTTGTTCGGGCTGTAATGAAGTCTGCTGTGTATCTGCTTTTATGTTTTAGTTTTTGCTTTTAGCAACGCTAAAGTGATGTAATAAATGAAGACAACGCACGTCTGAGTGATTATCAGTCACTTCAGCTGAAAACTGGTACAGGCAGCAGACTGATGTTTTTCATTTTGACATCAAAAACACTTGAGATGAACTTGTGTTGCATCATCTTTCCCTCACATGCATCCTCATCCGCCGCTTCGCTGAAAATGAGTGCTGGCATCTTGACCCGATCTGGTTCAGGGATAAAAAGAACCAAGCAGAAAATAATGAAGAAATTATACATTTTATTATGCGAGTTGATTCGTCGACTAATCAGGCTCCTCGTTGGTGCAATACTTCGTGTGACCCATGCTTGTTACCTACAAATGTGGACATGCGAACATGAACAAATGCACGTACACACAGCTGCAGACATGTCAGGGCCGCCGGTTTGAGTGATGACAGGTGCTGATTGCGCCGGGCTATGGGATGAATACAAATGTACGTAGCAGCAACGGGAAGTGAAAACACAGATACACTCAGACAAATCCCTGACAATGAATTTTGATGAATGCTGTTTAATCCTGTGATCAGCAGATCCCATGTGGGAAGGTCAAACTTCCTTCTCAGGGCTATCTTTTACAGCCCAAATATTCAACCTGTTGGCAGCTCCACACACAAAGACTGCATTTATTTCTGTGCAGAGAGAGCAGATTGGGTGCAGGCACAAAAACTTGTTTATGAAAAGTGCAAGCCGTTATTAAAAGCATTTTTRTTTTATTTTTGCTTTTAAAAAGTGATGGGAATGAATTCATTTATATATCCCATTACATACAGAATAAGAATCTTGAATATAATATGTGAATTTCAAATTTTGTCAGCCAAACAACAAAAGGTAACAAAAGAAGCACTGTTGCCACTAATACCTGAACATTTGTTGATTAGAGCACAAGCTAATTACTGTATTCGTGATTTTGAGGATTTTATTTAGGCAAACTTGCTTTAATAAAAGAAAGTATAGAAATAATCTTCACGTCATTGCTTGGGCAACACAAAGCATCTTGAATTTGCCATTTAAATCTGGCGCGACTCGAAGTTAGCTTAACAGTTAGCTAAACAATTACAGAAAAACTGTTGGATACTTGAATCATCAGAGCAAGAGAGCCTTTTATTATGATGGAGTATTAGGGCTACACAACAATAATTTTTATTATTATTATTATGACAATAAAATCACAATATTACGAGATTAAAGATGTAATTTTACAAGATTAAAGTCATAATTTTACAAGATTAAAGTCGTAATATTACGAGAATAAAGTCATAATTTCATGAGATTAAAGTTGTAGTATTACGAGAATAGAGTCATAATATGAGATTAAAGTCATACTTTTACGAGATTAAAGTCATAATATTACAAGAATAAAGTCAATATGAGAGTAAAGTTATAATTTTACGAGATTAAAGTCGTAATATTACGAGAAAAAGTCAATCTTACACGATGTGTCCATTTTCCGTTCCTCATTTCCTCCTTATTTTCCACCTTCTGTGTACAGCCATGTGTTTATGAAGTAGTCTGCCATGACTTGGGTCACTGTTGGATTAATATGCTATGCTTCAGTTTATCATATAGTTGTTTTCACAATTTCCAAGTCCTGGTAATTTGATGCTAATGTGCTAAAAGAATAACTATTTATTTTAAGCAATACTAAAGAACAACTTGAAAAGTTGCTCAACATTCCTCCAGTAACTGCATGCTTTTTTGTGTAAAGGCTATAGTTAATACTATAGTGTTACGACTTTTATTTTAGAATTTTTTTACTTTTTTCTCGTAATATTGTGACTTTAATCTCGTAATGTTATGACTTTACTCTCATAATATTATGACTTTATTTACATACGACTTTAATGTCTTAACATTATGACTTTATTCAAATTTAATTAAAAAATCTTGTTGTGTGGCCCTAATACTCCATCATATTTTATGTTTATTTTTGCTCTCTAAAAGTTATATTTGTAGTACAATAAATTATATTTAGCTCAAGCACCTTAAAATGTATTATTTTGAACAATAGATGTAATTCGACGTTAGCTGAACAKTTAGCAAAAAGTAATAACGTAAGCTGTTGCCATCAAGAACTATAGCTTTAGAACCAAGCTATTTATTATTTGGGTCTTTATGTGTTATCACTATAGGCATTAAAAAGTACCTTGAAATAAATACTTGAAGTTTATGGTATTCCCTATGCACACCTGTTTGTGGGGACCTATGGGGGACCTGACTGGTACTTATGGGGACCTTAATCCCCTTAAAGGGAAACACTGTTGGTGGGTCGGGGGTTAAGTTTAGGACTAAGGTGTTTAGTTGAGTTTAGTTTAGTTTTAGGGTCAGGTGAGGTTAGCCTTAGGGTTGGGGTTAGGCTGTAGAAAATAATGGAAGTCAATGCCAGGTCCCCATAAATATACACTCACCGGCCACTTTATTAGGTACACCTGTCCAACTGCTCGTTAACACTTAATTTCTAATCAGCCAATCACATGGCGGC